GAAATGTGTGAGTACTCAGACTCTTTGCTACAAATATTAACTAGGTGTTTGAAGTGCTCCCTTCCCCCATCTCTTTTACATAAAGAGAGAAGTTGCATTAGGATACACCTTTTTGGTTCATGATTCCAAAAGTGTCACTTTAGTGATGCAAAGGGAAAAGTGGCAAATCTGATATTGCTCCTTGTAAAAGTGAAACATGTGACTTAGAATCTTTGCTACAAATATTAAGCTACTTTATTACTTGGTGTTTGAATGTCTCCCTTCCCCCACCTCTGTTATATAAAGAGTGAAGTTGCATTAAGATACACCATTTTTGTTAGTGATTCCAAAAGGGTCACTTTAGTGATGCAAAAAGAAAATAGCAAATCTGATATTGCTCCATGTAAAAGTGAAACATGTGAGTACTCAGACTCTTGCTACAAATATTAAGCTACTTCCTATTACTTGGTGTTTGAATGGCTCGTGTATCGTTAATTAGGAACCCATCACTTTATCTTCCAGAAGAGGCAAGGTTTACCATCCTAAATGATAAAACAATTGGGAGGATTCCTTGTGGTAGCCATGTTTGAGAAGTTGAAACTTCGCTACTCGGTGCACTAAGCTAGCTGTGCACAGGGTCGGAGGAAGGGCCAGAGCTTATTGAGTCTTTTTTACGCAGCCTTACCTTACATTTCTACAAGAGGTTATTTCCGCAGTTTAAACCTCTGACCTCTTCCTGGTATCACGGAGGCAGCTCTTATCATTGCGCCATGTTCCCCTTCCATAGGTTGATTCCTTTCTCTGCATTAACATTATTTTTTGTTAAAGAAATGGATCTTGGCCCTAAATCAATCCCAAAAAAGCTAGCTCAAGTGGTGAGGATTGTTCAAGCCATACTAAGGAGATCACCCATCCCTTAAAGCACCGATGTAGGACTCTCCACGCCCGACACCCCTTATGTCCAGGGATGGACATATGGTGCGTGGGAATTTAATATGAGGGCCCAACACTAGGAAACGAGAATTGAGATGAGTGCAGCTCTGGTACCATGTTAAAGAAATAAATCTTGGGCCTACCTCAAACCCAAAAGCTAGCTCAAGAGGTGAGGATTGCCCAAGCCTAAGGAGACCACTCATCCCTTAAAGCACGTTGTGGGACTCTTCACAGTTTTCACCTTGGATAAATTTACATGGCTGCTTGATATTTTCTTGCTCCCATAATATGTTAGAACCCATTAGAAAGGCTCCCCTTCCCTGATTATCAACTGATTTGAGTTTCTTTATGCTATATGATCTCGCAGTGGTCCAAGGGCAGTTTCTGTCGTCAATTCATCTTCAGAAAGGCTTGGAGGGACAAGTATAGTTGCAAAAGCTGTTGTGCCAGATGATGAGCAAAAGATAAAAGACATGTTGCAGAAGTGGAGTGATGTTGACAAAGTGGATCTTATTCTTACCCTTGGTATGTTCCTAAGTTATTATGGTCATGGTCCCATTTCTTTGCTGAGCTGATAATATTTTTATTAATTACTCTTACTGGATGAGTCAGGTGGGACCGGTTGTACGCCAAGGGATGTTACCCCTGAAGCTACCAAAAGTATGATACAGAAAGAAACACCTGGTCTTCTCTATGTTATGATGCGAGAAAGTTTGAAGGTATCAAAGTTCTCATATCACTGTTATTCATAGCTACTTGATGGAGCAGGTAATTTTCCGTCCTGGGTGCGTACGCGTTCCGCCTTTTATCTTCTGAGGCTAACACTTCATTTATTCCAGTTGCAGAAAAAGACGGAGGCCCTGGAACATCTTAGGGATGAAGCCGATCGAATCAAGAATGACTGTGACGAGCTAAGAGCTCGGGCGGAGGTTCTGGCTTCAGAGGAGAAGAACACCCTGGCTAAACTTCCCGATTGGTCCGATAACATCCATTCCCCATGCGGCGAACGGCCATGGCGAGCTTGTTGCATTAAGCTCATTTGGAGGCACTTTTATCATGTCTGCATGGATCTGACAGCGGTGAAACTTTCGAACATACTGGATGCAGTCCGTTTCCATAGTCATCCAAAAATAACCTGCCTGGAGTATCTTCATGGCTAAGACAAAACCGTTCATATGTGGACCACAGGTCCTAGCATGAATTTCCTCTAGCAGTTTGGATGCTTCCTTTGCGTCAACACATCTTAGCAGTCCCAAATCAGGAGTTCTCCTATACAGGATTCCTGCACTGTGGAAGAAATTGTTGGATAACCTTCGCAGAGTGCGCTTCTGAATAGCATTTCCAAGCTTTGGATATTCTCTTTCGGCCAAAAATTCCTTGATGTCGTGGAACCAAGGCTTTCCGTCTGCTTCTTCCTCGACATGAACATAGTAAGCTGGCTAATCATGAATCTTTACTAGAATAGGGTCTATTAAGTTCTTATCTGGATGCTGAATCATGGGTGATAGAGTGGCCAATGCATCGGCAAACTCATTCTGGACTCTGGGAACATGCCGGAAATCTGTCTTTATGAACCTTTTCCTCAACTCCTGTACGTGATGCAAATACGGGAGTATCTTGGAGTTCTTGGTCACCCATTCTTCTCGGACCTGATGTATAAGCAAATCCGAATCTCCAATCACTAGCAACTCTTGAACGTTCATGTAAATGGCCATCTTGAGCCCCAAGATGCAAGCTTCGTACTCGCCCATATTTTTGGTGCATGGGAACCTGATCTTGGCGGATATCGGATAATGCTGGCCGGTTTCTGATACAAGGACTGCTCCTATGCCAACTCCCTTGAAATTTGCTGCTCCGTCGAAAAACATCCTCAAACCGTCAGGATTCTAAAATGTCCTCTCCTATGAAGGATGCCTCCTCATCAGGAAAATACGTCTTCAGAGGCTCGTATTCTCCATCCACGGGGTTTTCATTGAGGTGGTCCGCTAGTGCCTGTCCTTTGATTGCTTTCTGAGTCACGTAGACAATGTCAAATTCACTCAGCCGGATCTGCCACTTGGCTAGCTTGCCAGTGGGCATGGGCGTCTGAAAGATATACTTCAATGGGTCCATTCTTGATATGAGATACGTAGTGTAAGCACAGAAATAATGCCTCAACTTCTGAGCTACCCATGTCAGAGCACAACAGGTGCGCTCTAGTAAGGAATACCGGGCCTCGTACGGGGTGGACTTCTTGTTGTGATAATAAATGGCCTGCTCTTTTCTCCCCGTTTCATCATGCTGCCCTAGAACACAACCAAACGCTCCATCCAATACTGCAAGGTAGAGTAGCATGGGTCTACCTGGTTCGGGCGAAACCAGAACCGGCGGTGTTGACAGGTACTTTTTGATTCTGTCGAAGGCTTTCTGGAAGTCGTCAGTCCATTTGGTAGTGGCGTCCTTCTTCAACATCTTAAAGATCGGCTCACAAATGACAGTGGACTGAGCGATGAACCGGCTGATGTAGTTAAGTCTCTCCAAGAAACTCATAACCTCCTTCTTGCTCTTCGGCGGCGGCAGTTCTTAAATAGCTTTGACCTTTGATGGATCCAATTCTATCCCTCGGTGGCTCACAATGAACCCAAGTAGTTT